GGTTTGGGATTTGATGTTTCCAACAACACAGTAATATATACATCATCTTCTTTATTATTACATATTTTTAAGTAATAAAATTCTTCTCTTGTTTGAAAGTTTATCGTCTAGTGGATCAAGTGAGGAGAACAAACATGAGAGTTTTTTTAGAGAAATTTTTTTTTTTTGTTAGGTTCAGTTTTAAAAATTCAATTAAGTTGGTTAAGTGTTAACAAGTAATTTTGTTTAAAACTTAATTTCCTATATAAATAGAGTGACTTTTGAAAGTCTTTCATTCATTCATACTATACACAACCAAACTTTGAAAAATACAATATTATTCCTCTACACAAACCAACGTTCGTATTTTCTTGAGAGATTTTTTTGAAAACTAATCTTTTAAGTTTATCCAAAGGATGAAAATCTTCTAGATGAGAAATGTCTAGTCATGGTAGTAAGTTTTGTGTTATTCTACTATTATGTGTTCTACAACTTTATAATTTGTCTTAACTATTCTTGTTTGTGTATCATGTAGTTGGTATGGTTAGACTAAGTTTTTAACTTGAGTGGTTAAATTTTTCTTCTTGGATGTAAAAGTAAGGTTGATCATGGAATAATATTTTATAAAAAACAATGTGTGTTTATAGAATTCATAATTAACATATAATCTAATTAATGTGATTAAACTGATTTATTGTCTAAGATAGTCAAGATTATGTTAATTAGGTGATGATTCCTGTATTTGAGTACGTATTACTTTTATATAAATATGAGTTGTCATTTATAATATTTTTAATTGTTCTTCGCATTTTATTAAATAAAGTTTTTAAGATATTTAAAAATTCAACTCTCTCTGCACATAGTCATTATTTTAATCAAATTACTCTCCCTTGTTTTATTTCTTATCGCAACTTGTTTTTTTTTTTAAGTTTTGTAACGTGATTTTAAAATATTATTAAGGACAAAATAAAAAAATAATTTATGTTTATCAATTACTAAAAAATTTATCATATATATAATATTAGATTCTTTTTAAAAATTTATAATTTATATTTTTATTATTTTTTCCATATTATTATTCGCAAGATATTCTCACACCAATGCGGGAAATTATTATCAAATAGATATGTAGTTTTTTTAATTATTTTTTATTTTAAAATATATTTTAAAAATAGTTAAATATAGCTATATATTTTGTTAAATATGTCCATCAAGAACATTCTTGTATGTATAATATTTCTATAAATTTTCCAAATATATAATATAGTTCCTTAAAAATGCTCCTTTAATTTTAAAGTGATTTCTTTAAAATGGGTGGGTGATTTCTTTACCTCCACTCACGGGAAAAGAAATTAGTAAGATCAATATTTTACATATATGTCATTAATGGATAAGGTGGGAAATGATTAAAATATTTTTTTATATTATTGATATTCTAATCTTAAATTTATTGTGATAATATCATTAAAGTAAATTATTATGTATGAAGTAATATCTATTTTAAAATTTTTATTATTTTATTTTTAAAAAATATTTTCGTGAATTAAAAAAAAATTACTTTTAATCTTCATTGTTAAATGAGATGAAACTCTACGGAAACATAATTAATCAAAAACAAAATTTTTAAATATGTTTACAGAAATTAATAATTTTTTATGATATAGTAATAAACTAATAGCTTCTGCTAAATTAAATTATATAATTTAAAATTGAATAAAATTGGAAAACATCGATTAGAACATTTCAATTATATTATTAAATACGTAATTATTTTTTACTATTGTTAGAATTTAATTTAAAGATAAAACATAAACATGATTAAATATAAAAAATAAGTATATATATATATATATATTTATTTATTGATAATCATACTTGAAAATGATTTTGTAGAGAAGGGAATAAATATCATAGGAAACAATGATTAGTATGTGAATGATTTTGGATGAATTTTTTCAAACATGCTTATGTCGTTGACTAGTACAATATTATTAATATTCCATCTTAAATGGTGTATCAGCTAATTTTAAATGATTCTTCACCACCCATTCTTAAGTACTAGTCACTGATTTGGGATAATGTTCCATTCTCATAATTAGATTAGACTTAATAAATATTTAGTGATTTGTAACATTTTATATCTGAAATAAAAATCGATTAAAAATAAATATAAAAAGCGACAAACAAATAAAAAACAGTTTCAAACAAATTAACTAATTTTGACAGAGTATACAATGCAAATGTGTAAGTACCTAATATAAAAATATGAATGTTTAAATCAGGCTTAAATTTATTTTAGTAATTGAATATTTTATTAAAATTGAAAAAAAATTGTCCCTAATATTGAAGGACTATGCATATTTTCTTATAATTTGAAATACTATAATATTTTTTATTAGAAATATCAAAACTAGATTTATTTCAAACCTAGATTAAAACATAATTAAACTTTAAAATAATTATCCATGTAACTATGGATTTAGTTAGAATATCATCTTAATCACTTAAAATATGAATTGACTAACATAAGGTTATTTTAGTTTAACAAGTTGTATCTCTATAGAAAATCTATATGTTTTAGACAATAAAAAAAGATAGAATATTATTTTAAAGCATAGGTATATAAACTAATAAATTTTATAAACGTTTATAAACTCTATCCGTTTTTTTTTCTATAAATAAAATTTCAATCATTTATTTATCTTTGTATGATCAATTTGAATTTCCATTCATGAATGAATGAAAATGGTTTTAATTGTTTTTTCTCAAATAACAGTATTGAGTTAATTTAAAATAAGAGCGTTTTGCAGAGTTATTCTTACATAAAGTTATTTTTCAGAAGTTATATTCTAACTTTCATCTACTTATATCTCTCATTTATTTCAATCTTATATATTAAGCATTTTATTTTTTTATTTTTTTCTTTTAAATATATTCTTAATTTGATTGTAAACTTAATTTGATTTAAAGTCTCGTAAAAAAAATTTCCCACATTTTTCTTTTCATGTCTATATGTTAAAGTTTTTATTTTTTATTTCTAATATTCTTAATTTTTTTTTCTTTCAAAATTAATTTGATGTTAAATATAGCAAAAAGACTTATTACTGAAATCACCATCATTGACATCAAAGATACTATAAGTCTAATATCAGAAAGATATTCAGCAAAATATGATTGACATCAAATTTAATCTATTTCACAGGACCTTTTAACATATTAATTGAATTCATAATATTTAATATTCATTAAAAATATTTCAAATTGATTTTATCAGAATTTATAATTAATATGGGTTGATAATAACAGTACGTACCACTTTACAGAACAAACAAACAAGAAAATGCATGAAAAACATATACAGCAAACAAGGAAAAAAACAACCTCATAAAGATGAGAGCAACCAAAAATTGTATTAATAAAGTTTATATATATATATATATATATATATATATATATATATATATATTATTTTTATGTATTTTCTATTCTCTAATTTTTCATTAATTTTAATTTTCAAAATAAATTTTATTACCACTTAACAGTTATATTATAGAGAAAACAGTAATATGATGTACAGTTTCACTCACATCACATCAATAATTATTCTTATCATGAGATAAATATTACATTATAACTAAATACAGAATTAATCATTTTGAAAAAAATGTAAATTATACAAAAATAAAATAAAATTAAAACTGATAGCTTTTTAAACTGAAGGGATATCATCAAATCATAAAATTTAAAAAAATTAAAAGCATATTTGAGAAATGAAAAAGATTGGGAAGGAATGCCTCATAAGTTGAGAATGTTCATGCCAGTTACAACCCATTTCCCTTCTAACAGTATATGCTCTAAAAAATGCATTAAACTGAGAATACAAGAACAAGAAACTAGGCAAGGTTGGGTTTCTTTTATAGGGAACACGTTACACGTACATAACCATTAAGATAAGGCACTGCACTCTATTATTTTAATTGGTTTAGCTTTGCTTGTGAAGTTGGCTTCGTTTTCTGCAATTCCCATTTCACAAAGCCACACCCTGCATCACCCCCGCCCCAAAAACTAACAGAAAAGCAAAAAAGAAAAGAAAAGAAAAAGAAAAACTAAAAAAAATCAAAACAACATATTATTAATATCGCTGTAATTATTGTTACAGTTTTCATTTGTCTTGTCCCTTTATTTTTCGATTGGATCTGAGGCTCTTCAGAGTTGCAGAAAGGCACACCAAAGTTGTTTCACTTTCTTGGAGTGTGGTTTCTCTTTTGTTCAGAGCAAACTCACACACAACTTGTGGAATCCACCACAGCCATGGAAGAAGGTTTCTTGCTCTGCAATTTCATTGACATTTTTCTCCTTTGATCGGGTATGCATGTTCTTTTTGTTTATTTATTTATTTATTTCTTTGCTCTACTCATACCCTTTTGCTGCCTTTCTTTACGGGGTGGTTTTTAATCACTGTTCCTGTAGTGTAATCAAAGAAAAAGCTGAAGGTGGCTTCTAAAAATACAAAAACAAAAACTTTAACTTGGGTGTTGTTACAAGTTAATGCATTTTTGGAATCAAAAGCAAAGGGGTGTTGATCAGAGAGGAACTAGATTTCTTGGTGAATTTGTGAAAGGAAGTTTGCTATCTGAAAGCCTTTGTGAGTTTCCTTGATGCTTTCTTTCTGTTGGGTTAAAAGACTGAATTTGATTTGATGCTTTGCGTTTGGGTTCAGCCGTTTTCTTTCTAATGGGTTCTGTTCAGTTGGGTGGTGTTGTAATGGTTATATCTAAAATAGGCGTCTTTGAAAGTGTCTTATATTTTCCTTTCTTCTGGCCGTTTGAATTTCATCCTGGATCATTTTAATTCTTTCTATTTTCAACCTGTATAATTTTGTTGTGTTTTTTTTTTTTTTTTTTTTTTTTTCAAGTAAGAAAGTTTTAGAAGTGGAACTTTTGTTTCTGTGCCTTTTAATTAAGTAAATCTCAGTAATTCACTGGGTTGAGTTGGATTTTGCAGCTCATCAAGATTTCTTAATGGGGTCACCTGTTAATGGAGTGGGTTCTTTATCAGAGGTTCAGAATTCAGTTTCCTTGGTAGATCATGATCCTCCTTCAACATCAGGGATCCCCCGGTCTTCTCGGCCGCCGTTAAGCACATCTAGAAATCATGGGGCTTCTTCCAATCAGTATTATAACACAAATGGGAAATCTGAGTATGTGAGCCTCAACAAAGCTGTTGAAAGTTGTTTAGGAAAGAACATCTCCAAAATGGAAACAAAATTAAGCATCAAGCAACCGTTAGATGCTTCCAAGAATTGTGATTTTAGCGCCGTATTAGAATCTGACAATCACCAATTAGGTTCGTCAAAAGGCGTTGTTGATCGAACAAAGAGTCACTGTCAGTCAGAGATTACTTTTTGTCCAAGTCCTCAGAATAGTTTCTATACAGAAGCCAAGGAAAGTTTTGCCAACACTGGAGTCAGTGAATGTGTTAGTGTTGATAAGTCAGTTGAAAGTGGAGAAGTTACTAATTCCTGTGAATTTAACGAGAGCCGGAAGACCAGCATCTGTAGAGGCAGCACTGGAAGTGACGTTAGTGATGAGAGCAGCACTAGTAGTTTGAGCAGTGCTTTGTACAAGCCCCACAAGGCTAATGATATAAGATGGGAAGCAATTCAAGCTATACGAGCCCGTGATGGGGTGTTGGAAATGAGACATTTCAGGTTATTGAAGAAATTGGGATGTGGAGACATAGGAAGTGTATATCTAGCTGAATTAAGTGGCACCAGGACTTGTTTTGCAATGAAAGTAATGAACAAAACCGAGTTGGCTAGTCGCAAGAAGCTTGTTAGGTCTCAGACAGAGAGGGAGATACTGCAGTCTCTAGATCATCCATTTCTACCCACATTGTATACACACTTTGAGACAGAGACATTTTCCTGCTTGGTAATGGAGTTTTGCCCTGGTGGGGACTTGCATGCACTCAGGCAAAGGCAACCGGGGAAGTATTTTTCTGAGATTGCTGCCAGGTTAGCCATTTCATTTTCCTTGTTTGCCCCATCAATTCCATCTACATACAACATGCAGAGACATTAGATAAGTGTATGCATGTTCTTTCCTTGGAATCATAGATTCAAGTGTTCTGTCTGTAGAACCAGAATGGAAACTCTATCAATTTAGGAAATCTCTATCTTTCTCTACAAGAATAAGGGAACTTGACTGAGGCTTTTATCATATAGATGAAAAGTTGGACTGTCACATTGTAGTTCCTATCCATTGGTTCCTCAAGGATCATGGCAGTTTTGCATGTTATTATATGTCACTAATGGACATTTGTGTGTGATTTTAACATCTCCAGGTCGATAGAAAATTCATATATTTAGCAAAACATTGCCCTAGAATTCCAAGTAGCCAAGATATTGTTTTCCACTCCATTTATTGTCTGAAAACCTTCTAAAGCTTTTTCAAGTCTCTTTATGGATACTGCCAAAAATGGTAAAAATATGCTTGCTTGCACACTGGACCTTTTCTTTTTCTGCCTGCATAATTTACTTTTAGTTTACTACTTCCACCTTTTCCCCACAGTCATGACATTCTGAGTGACTTGTACACGCTAGTTCTAGTGATGTTTTAAATCCATCCCAATTTTCTTGGAACTTCTCACTAAAATGATTCTGGATGCGACGTGACTTGGCTTTCTTAATGTCTTTTCTAAGTTTTAACTTGTTTTTCTATGTCATAGAATGACAAAAATCTGTATTTTATTTTTCTAGGCGAATAACTGATATTTTATTTGCTGTCATCCACATCAGATAGCAATTCATTTTGTCTCTCTGGCCTCTTTAACAGCTTGCTAGGTGTTATTCGTTCCTCCATCCTATGTCCTAATTAGAAGACAGATATTAAATTGTTTGTATATGAGCTCTCAATGAACTGCTTAGGAGACTTGTACTTGAATTTTTCTTTTGATTGAAAGTTTTCAGAGTTGGCAAAGAATTACAATCTACAACTAAGTATGTTGTCATTTCATTAATCTGTACCATGCAGGTTTTATGTGGCAGAAGTTCTCCTTGCCTTGGAGTACTTGCACATGCTTGGGGTCATCTACAGAGACCTCAAGCCTGAGAATGTGTTGGTGAGAGAAGATGGTCATATAATGCTTTCAGATTTTGATCTCTCTCTAAGGTGTGCTGTCAGTCCAACTCTGGTGAAGTCATCAAACTCTACCTTGGAGACAAAAAGCTCAGGATACTGCATTCAGCCTGCCTGCATTGAGCCAACATGTGTAATTCAGCCAGACTGCATTCAACCATCATGTTTCACACCGTCATTTCTCTCAAAATCCAAGAAAGAAAAAAAGTTGAAACCAAAGAATGATGTGCAGAATCAGGTGACCCCTCTCCCCGAGCTTATTGCCGAGCCCACGAATGCACGATCAATGTCTTTCGTGGGGACACACGAGTACCTGGCACCTGAAATCATCAAAGGTGAAGGTCATGGCAGTGCTGTGGACTGGTGGACATTTGGGATATTCTTATATGAGCTCTTGTTTGGTAGAACACCGTTCAAAGGTTCAGCAAACCGCGCCACACTATTCAATGTTGTTGGCCAGCCCTTGAAATTTCCAGAAGCTCCTACTGTGAGCTTTGCTGCCAGGGACTTGATCAGGGGTTTACTTGTGAAAGAGCCTCAGAATCGCCTTGCTTATAGACGTGGAGCAACAGAAATAAAACAACATCCATTTTTTCATAATGTTAACTGGGCACTGATCCGATGTGCAAATCCTCCAGAGGTTCCAAGACAGGCCATGAAAGCACTTGCAGCTGAAAAAGTGCCTGGAGTGAAGCCTTCTGGTAACTATTTAGATATTGATTTCTTTTGATCTTAATGTCTGCTTTCTCATTCGAACTAATTTCCATCTTCTATTTGTGTTGTTTGTCCATGGTTCTTTCCTTTGTATAAATTGATGCAACTCTTTCATCTACATTGATCAATGCTTGTAATTGTAATTGTCCATGATAAACTGCTGTAAGAACCTCCAAAATGCATGAAAAAGACACATTCATTTAAAACAAAAAATGAAGACCTAAAATATTTAAAATGAATTTAATTTTAGAAATAAAAACTGGTATACGAAATATCAACTCCCAAGCATAACAAGGATTCAAATGATAGTTTACTATTTAGTGTTGATATCAGATTACAAGTATGGGAGTACTTCTGAACCAAAACCCTGATTTCAGTCAAAGTATGTGGTTGAGAGATTAAATGCGGTACGGAATTTGTCGCCAGAATGTGGTGATACTTGCGTGGTAAATGTGATTAAGATTCACAAGGTACGTGTCACGTATACGGAATCCTATTCATGTACAGGATTTAAATGCTAGAAAGTGATAGGCATAAAAAAATAATAATTTTCAAGATATGTTTGACTAATTATCTATGTACCGAGGCAAGAATTGATCTTGTGATTTTGACTCGACGACCTACACTCTTGATTTGAAGTAGTCCCCTGGGGGTGGAGAATAATTTTACTTTATATGGTCAATAAGTGTGCATCGTTATTATCTACAAAAAAAAAAAAGGTCCAGGTGGATTTTTATTCCACTGAAATTAAACATAAAGTCTAATTTTAGAGAATATTATTAATTCAATTTTATTTTGATCATTTCATACAAAACTAATTATTTTTCATCCACACTCACCAAATTTTGATTATTTTAAAAAAGAGTTTAATGCAAGCAATTTTTTTATTTCTCATTAATCTAAATTGAAAATTTATTTTATCAATTTTGTTTTTTTAAATAACATTTTCGGAAAATAACATTTTTTAAAAATTATTTGCATTTGTTATAAATTTATTTTCATGGAGAGATGAGGTGATGAATATAACATTTTTTTTTAAGTCAAAAGAATTTACAAGATATTGTATTATGTTTAATTCTTACCAAATTCACAAATATTCCTGAAAATCATAATTTTCAGATTCATATTATAAAAATCATAAATTTTAAATATGAAAAAGAGATTATATCAATTGTTTAGTAAAAGCCAAACTTTCTTTCTAAGACAGTACTTCTTCAAATAAGCATGTGCGGAAACTTTACTTTAAACTCATCATTATGTCAATAATGTGATTTAATTAAACACACTTAACAGCAAATGAATTCTTGGCACATGCAAAAAGGTGTTTGAGCTTCAAAACAAATGAAGTTCTTAGTTATAGAGTAGTTCTTTGTATTTAGTCCAACTTTATCATATGGTTAGATGAATTTGAGAATAACTAGACTAGTAGAAAAATAATAATTATAGTTCTTCAAAGTTTAGTTATATAATTACTTATTTGGAAACATGAATATGAAATTGAAGGGTTTGAGAGCAATAAAAGAAAGAGAGTGACATGGTGGGTGCTTGTGAAGAAAGATTGAAATAGAATGAATAAAATGTACTAAGAATTGAAATGGGGGAGACAAGAAAGAAAAGAAAGGCTATTAAGAAATGAGAATATCCGGAATGCATGGACCCATGTAACTCATAAGGGCATGCGTCATGAATCATGTGTCTTGTCCCCATGATAAGGACGCACATTCAATGTCTTGTCCTAGGGAGAAAATAAGAATGATCCATATATATATATATATATATATATATATATATATATATATATATATATATATATTTTTTTTTTATTTAAGGTGAAAAAAAAAATGAATTACCCAAACATATTTTTGACTAATTATGTGCTTGAGTAAATCACTGTGTTTCTTATATTATATGTTTTTGACAAAATGTTTTTATTAAAAAATTAAAATGGAAGTATAAATTTGTTTATTTAAGATCACATTAAATAAGGACATCTTTATTATAAAAACAAATCAATGCTATTAAAGATTTTTTTTATTGATGATAAAATAGTATAAATTGAAGATTTTACATGGATAATTTACAAATCAAAAGTTATTGAATGAATCTCTTATAACTTTTTTTATAACAAAACTAAAAAAACTAAAATGGTTAATTATTATTTTAATTTTTAAATATAATTTTGTCCTTTTAGTATTAGCAAAATCAATTTGATCCTGTTATTTTATATAATTCAATTTTGTTAATTTTTATATTAAATTAACTTATTGTTTTAGTTTTCTATTTTTTTAGTCTGGTTCTTTAATTATTAAAAAGATTAATTTAATCTTACAATTTATTTATATGGTTCAATTTTGATTTTTTTTATAATAAATCTATAAAATAAATTAAGTTAATTATTATTTGGCTTATAAATTTTTTAAGTGCATTTGATCCCATTGTTATTAGAAAAACTAATTTTAATCCTGTTATTTGTATTAGTTGTTCATGTTTGTTTATTTATTTTTTAAAATTCTAATTAAATTCCTTATTTCATACATTGGTTTCAATTTAGACTATTTAGAATCAAATTTAATCTCATGGAGATTGACAAAGAAAAATAGGAAAATTAAAAAGGCAAATTAAAAAAAATTGAAGGGACTAATTGAATATAGTAAACAAAATAAATTAGAAAGTAACACTTGTATTTAATTTTAAAAATTTGAAATTGAATATAAAAAAATATTTTATAATTTATTTATTGCTTATATATGAATGGATGTAAATAGTAAAGTTTAATGTCCTTAAGAAAAATCCATTAGTTAAACTCATTAATCTATATACGTGGATTAAGTAAATCAATTTGGTGTTATCCAATTATCTTCAAAAGTTCAAACTTAGGTCTTCTTTTAGATTTCGTTCTCCATGTTATCCACTTCAAATAAGATAATCATGTCTTAATTAATATGATCTTATCTCATCTTTTCTATCACCTCCTCTTCCATCTATTTTGTTAATTTACATTATCTTACCTCATATTTTATATCATCACCTCTTATTTTCATTTATTTATGTAGTGTTTGTTTCTATTAATTTATTATGATAAAAGAATTGGGGAAACATATTTGAGGTGTCAATGGTATTTGCATTTGCTTAATTGAACATATTTAAGAGGAAAGGAAAGGAAGAAAATTGCATAAAAATGACTCAAAATGACCTTGTTACCCCATGTTTTGTCTCACGTTCTTGCATGACTGCCCATGTAGATATTCCATCTCTGCAGCAATAATGCATGTTGCTGGTGATACCATGACCCGAGACAGTTGCAACAAAACACTATGCATGACCATGCACGTTGAACAAATGTTGACATGTACTGTTCACACGTTGAAAAGTCATTAACCATTAAGTACTTAGTCATACATGTTTATCAACAAACGACATCTTGTTAGGGTGACCTTCACTCAATTGTATAGGCATTGCAGTTTCAACTCTTCACCTCAAGTTAAAATATTTGACATTTGGTGGGAAGGTTGAAACTATTCCGGTGAACCAACAAATGATTTGTAAATGTTATGAAGGAAGCTTGAGGAACCGACATGACAAAGTCATTCATTCGCCAAACTAGGAAGTAATTGTTTTTATACTTAGATCTAAAGGTGATGTTAAAAGAAAGATGACCTTAGTTAAACAATGATGTAAAATAGATCATTTTGGAAGAAAGAAAATGGGTTAGAATCCAAGTCAATCTAAATACCAATTTGGAGGAGCAACTAGTGTAGTTATTGAAATCGAATAAGTGCATCTTCACATAGCCTATCTCAGCATGCTCAAATTAAATCCAAACTTTATATGCCACAAATTGGATTCAAATCTAAAGGAAAAACTAATAGTGCAATGAAGAAGGAATTTTGGTGAGCAAAAAATGGGTGATCGTAATAATAAAAACTAAGAATCTAGTTTATTTAGTACACATAAAAGAGATTCAATATTCGACCTAGTTAGTTCAAATGGTTTATTATTACAAAATCCTCAAATGGATACTCATTTGATCCCACTTGTCTAACCTAATTAATGGCTAGCTCATCTAATTTAAGACAACTTGTCAACTCATTTGACTTGTTTACTTGACTAATAAACTTGAGTGATTTATTCAGCTTATTTATTCGAGTGGTTTACTCATATGATTTGCTTAACTGGTTAAACTCATTTTCCCTACTTAATAGTTAATTCATATGATCTAGGTTTACATTTGATTGTTCACTTGATTGATCTGCTTGAATGGTTTACTTGAATGATATACTCGAGTGGTTTACTTGTTTTATGTACTTATTGATTAGTTCATTTGGTGTTTGTTAATTTTGGGCATCTAATGCTTGAAGGTCCAATACCTTAAATTAAATTGTGACATATGAGTCAACATGACATGCATTTCATAAGAGTTGATATTAAGGATGACATTGAAAATATGAATTTTATGAATATATGCTATGAAAGGAGTAGAAGAAATATGATAATGTAATCTATGAAAATATAGAAAATGGTTGAATAAATAAACATATATACACTAAGGTATACATGCATACAGACCTGGCGAGAATATGGGATGTGGTGAAACTGCCTAGTTCATATGCACAATGTGTTTGAGAGTTATCACATGCCTCACACTCTATTTATGATTGATATTTTACATATAAGTTTTAGTCATAAGGGCAGAATACACACATTGTATCCATGATGTGTATTGCTAATTCATGACTTTCCACACTCACATAAGATCAATAATGAGCTAGGAGGTAACTCATAGTGTTTTTGGGGACCTCAAGGTACATATAGTACTCTTAATTATTATAATCATAATGATATGAAAAGAAATGCATGAGTAGTGTGTGTGATAGACATTCTATGTAGAGGCTTTCTTGAAATGAATGATGCTATAATTTATCATTATATGACTATTATGAGTTTTTTTTTTTTTTTTTTTTGGGAATGATGCTTACCTTTACACTTACATTTTAAGGAGAAGAAATTGGTCATTTTGGACTTGAGAGATGAATAACATACATGATTGGATAATGAGAAACTTACTCCATGAGGTTTTATATTTGTAATACAATATGAATGTCGATAGTAAACTATTTTATCCAAGTTGTTTCTTGAATATTACAATTGAATTTAAATTTTAACTTTTTTGTAAATATTAAGTTATATCATAAGATATTTTTGAAATGTCACACTTAGTATCCATTTTCAAACTCTTTTGCAAATATGGCAAAAAATCTATTTCCCATTTGAAATGTTTAAGAAAGAACGATCATTTTGAGTGGACAAAAGATTGTAAACAAGCATTCATCGAATTAAAAGAACTCATCGTTTATCCTCCTATCTTGTCTAAATTGACATGTGCTCTTCTGCTTATAATGTACATTGCAATAACCGATCATGTTATTATTTTAGTTATATTACAAGATGTTGATACCAATTAAAAGTAAATCTATTTTGTGTGTATAACATAACATTTGTTATTGCCATCACCATTCAATGACTTTGACACTATTTTCATAATTACATCGTCATCATTAAGGCTTGCCTGGCTATTAAATAGATTTTGCACAAGTTTAACCTAGTTAGAAGAATGATGGTATGAGCCATAAAATTATATGAATATGACATAAGGTATGAATTCCATGGAGCTATTAAAACCCAAGTTTTGAATGATTTCCTAGTTAAGCTAACACCCCCTCACAACTTAATCCTTAACACAATTTAATATGACTTTTTTTGGTTAACAAAGCTTCCAAACTTTAAATGTAGCAAAGTAGGCATCATATATAGAAAGGACTAGATGGAGTGTTGATTAATTAGTCACTACAGTTTTGCTTTCAAAGGAAGCAATAATCAAACAAATTTTGAAACTCTACTCATGAGAATGAATTTGGCTCGAGAAATGGGTATCAAGATCTTATCAACTCGTAGTGACTCGTAATTGGTTATAAGATAGATTTTTGGCAATTTCCAAGCTATGAATCCTCAACTAGCTCAAAATCTTCCAGATATAAAAACATTATTTTTTTTTTCTAATAACTTCACCTTATTGTTGAAATTAACCAACAATAAAAAGTCAGCCAACTATTTATACTTATAGTATTTACCAAAGGTACTGAGCCACATGTGCAACAATAAAGAACAACTTTTTGTAAGAATGCAACCTCAATTATAATTTTTTATGGGAGGCCATATTGACAAGGATTCTTAAGACCGTTTTTAGGATTCCTAACCAATGAACACGCTACTCAAGTAATGAACAAACTTCATGAAGGCGTGTATGGAAGCGAAATTGGGGGACACACTTTGACAAAAAAAGTTTTAAGAGTTAGATATCATCAACTAACATTAAGAGAAGATTATGTGAACAATGTACATGTTAATGGCATTCTAATTTTCACCTCGTCCTAATAGCACAATTCCACTATGTGTCCTCGCCTTTCAACAAGTGGGGCCTTAACATATAAGATCCCTTCCTATAAATAGTATGACAACTTAAATTCCTCTTACTGAAATGGAATATTTCACCAAATAGATAGAAACTGAGTCCATAATTGCAATTACATTAGAAAGGGTGAAGTAATTCATTTAAAAGTCTATAATTTGTCATTTTTAAGACTTTAGGTACTTAACACTAATAATGAAACACAATTTTGGAATATGTCATTTTTCGTTTTGAACTTAATTTCTTTATTCATCAAAATGTGATTTTAATTTTAAAGCTAAACTTCCATATTCCTTATTTTTCTTCGGAGTGAAGTTATTCATAGGGTTCTAAAGGAAGAATCTAATTATGCTTTGATAGTTTTTGAAGCATCAATAATAAAGGAAGAGTTTCAAGCCCTTCAATATGAGCTAATAAGAGCCATGATCATTAAGTGAAATAGAATTATAGGTGTTCAACTCCAAACTTCACCTACTAGGTTTCTCTCCTCTGTAAAAAATCATGAACATCTTTTTGGATGATGAGTTAAATTCCTTTTTACTAGCACTAATCAAGGGAGAAAGTGAAGAGAATGAGAAAATAAAAAGAAAATAAAGAAAATAAAGAAAACTCATCTTGATGAGCTTTGCATGCTTTGTATATAAACACATCATCTTGATGTGTTTTTTTTTTTTTTTAAGGAAACAAGTAATTTAATACTTTATCAAATTCTAATATTTGCATTCTTTTTATTTGCTTAAATTGCCTATCATCTTTCTCTACTTATCATAGTATATTCTAATGTTTAGAAAAATGATAATAAATGGTCTTTTGGCACCATAATAAAGGGGAAAATATTAAATCTAAACTTAGATAAACCATAGATCTTGAGATTCATATTTTATTAAGGGTAGACAAGTGTCAAATGTTAACTGAAACATCATAATCTGGTTATTTATTTTAGCATTCTTGAATTAAAAGTTTAGAACACATCTTAACTTAGATATACATAATGTTTATATGATAAAACAATGTATATATGCATGTTTTACATGATACATACAGACAATATATGAGTGGATAAATATGTATATTCACGTATCATTTTATATGCATCATCTTCCGTTGTGCTAAACAAACCATGAGTTTGATGCTTGTATCATTTGATCAAACCTTTGCATGAATTTTCTCTTTTCTCCTTAAAAGACATGTAAGCTACATTGATTGTTAAGCATTCATAAATAATCTTTTACTGTATGTGATCTTTCAACATGGCTCTGATTGCATATGTGTATCACAATGCTTTCACTTTGTCCTATCCTTAGCCCACCAAAATGATGAGTTAGACGAAACGGTCCAAAACGAGTTGATAGGTTAAAATTACTAATTTGTCTCACCATTTTTAAACATACTGATGGGTTGAATTGTGAGACTTAACTCATTTTATCATCCTTAATTTATGTGCTATATACATATATTATTTGACAAATACATATGCTTATTTCAAATATTTTGTTTGTTATATTTAGAATGATACAATTACTTATTCTTTACATGCTACATATGATGAGAGTAAAAACTTAAAATAATCCTCGATCGTATATGATTTTTACATGTATATACTCAAATTCATTTAAAATATAAATGTAGTTTATTCTTCTATAAAGAGAATATTTTTAAGAGGAAAAACAATGAAAAAGATGCTTGAGCCTAATAATTAGAAGTTAAAAGCATTTATCAAATCAAAATGTTCAAAGTTTGGGATCAAAAGAGAGAATAACATACAATCAATTGAAAAAAAAAATTGTTGTTTCAACCACAAATTTTATACAACAACAATGATGTCTTGAAGATAAAAAATAAATAATGGCTCTAATAAAAATGAATAAGAAACATAAACTACCTAATTTAATCATTATATGCTTATCACCTACTAGAACCTATGCATTAAATATTTTTCTTAAAAACCTTATAAAACATGCACCAGCTTGGTTAGATAAAGATCAAACAACAAAAAAGTATAAAAAAAAAAGTTAAAGATGAAAAACAAGACAAAATAACTGCTTAAAATAAAATGGCCACAATGATAATAATCATATTTTGAAATGCTACAAATAAAAGAAAAAAAATATTAGAATTATTGTCGTGCCTAACATATAATAAACTCTTAGTTAAGAAGTAAAACACAATCAAAATAGATTTGTTGAGCTGAAGATTTTACCCTCGTGAATTACACCTCTAAAATTATAACATTAAACACACTGTCAACTTTAAAACTAAATCAAAACGTGAAATTAAATTAAAAAAATTTAATATGATGATTAAAACTACGCACTAAAGAATAATTTCAATTTTTTTTCTTAAAAAACTTTTTAGATTTTCTTGTTTTATAATTTTATCTTTCTTCTTTCTACTCAACAAAGCACCAATGGATTAGAAAAAAAAAGTCCCATTTATTAAATGATGAAAAGACATGAAAAAAAGTTCTATATATCTAATGAATTTTTTTTTCAAATTAAAAACATATAATAACAGATACAGTAATAATTTTATTATTTATTACTTTTTAATCATAGTCATCTTAAAACTAATTATTTTAAAATATAAAACATTGATGATATTAGTATGAAATGATAAAAATGAATTTTTTTATTAAAGCTTCAAATAATAAATTAAAAATTGAAACATAAAACATAAAATTAAAAATATGAAAACATATTTTGGCTATATAATATTAGTATAGATTATAAATCAAATTAAAAGTTTTTCGAATTAGCATTGATAAACATATAAAATAATAATAACTTCTATTTACTAACCAAATGATTAAAAAATGAAATAAATTATTTTTCTTAAAAAGATACATACAATGTTTAATGTTCTACGAGAAAAATAAATAAATAAATAAATAAAAGTTTCTGAGAGGGGGAGGGGGCGAATGCGTCAATACGCGAGCCTCATCCTTCCGCTCCCGCTTCTTTTCACTAGAGGCACACGAATATGATCATTAAGAACTTATTTATTTATTTATTCATTTATTTTCCAGAGAGAATGCGATCCTAAATATCTCACAAATTCATAACCGTTTTGCCCTTTCATTCTCTTCGCCTCCTACTTCCTTCGAATTTTAGGTGTGACAGATACACTCATCTCTCACAGCACAACCAAAGCGTCTTCCATGTCCAGACACTGAAATGGCGTCCATCTCGACGTGCATCACTGTGACCCCCAGTTGTGGGCTCCCGCGGCTACAATCCTTCACTCGTTCGAGTTTGGCGAAGTCCCCGAAGCAGGCAATAGCTTTCCCTTGCGTGCAAAACCCGGTGATTTGGGGAGTCCCGAGAAGGTCATGGGATTCTAGGGTTTTGGTGGCGAGGCCGGGGGGCATAGTGGAAAGCGACAAGTTGCCGTCGGATGTCAGAAAGCGAACGATGGACGCGGTGGATGGATGCGGAGGGAGAGTAACCATTGGGGATGTGGCTAGCAGGGCTGGCCTCAACTTGAATCAGGCTCAGAAGGCTCTTCAAGCTCTTGCTGCTGACGCAGATGGCGTCTTAGAGGTTGTCAGCTAGCTGCCCTTTACGTTCGGAAATTTCCACTACCATGTGTTATAGGATGAGCCTAAAGGGGTTTAAGCATTTTATAAAGAAGGAAAATTAAGTGTTTCAAGGATTTTATAAAATGGTATTAGAATAGTAAAGTAATATTTATACTATTAGTTAGTTTATATTTAATTTCTTGAGTTAGATAATGATACTTGTAGGATGTATTTTAGGTTATATAAGTGTATTTTTCTTACCTATTAAAAATTTAGTTAATGATGCTTGTGTTTATAGCTTTAATGGTAGAGTTTAGGGTATCATAGAGTAGTGTAGGTCATAGCTTCCTATCAATGCGGAGAAATTGTGCTGCAGTGGAATGGGTATCAATTTGTTTCCTTGGGTGCCTACGTGTTGTACACTAAGATTATGGTTAAACTTTAGAAATAAATTCTGTCTTTTCTACCATGGTCTCTGCAGGTTTCTGAGGAAGGTGACGTTCTCTATGTATTTCCCAAAGATTATCGATCAAGGCTTGGTGCCAAGTCGCTTAGGATTAAAGCTGAACCCTTTTTTGAAAAAGCCAAGGTATGAAGACTATTGTCTTTTCTGTAACAGTTATTGCTGATGTTTTATCACTTGAATGTCATTGTTGTATAACTTTGACTTTGACAGGCGGCGGTAGAATACTTGATACGGGTTTCTTTTGGGACAGCGCTTATTGCATCCATTGTTATTGTTTACACTACAATAATTGCTCTTATAACTAGCAGTAGAAGGTATTCCTTAATTTTGATGTATACGATTACAGTTTTCTTGAAAAGTTTAGTGAAGTGAATGAGGGAATAATGTTGTTTATTTACAGTGATGATGACAATCGTGGAAGGCGTGGAGGCAGGTCATATGATTCAGGAGTCACTTTCTACTTCAATCCTGTTGATTTGTTCTGGTAATTCTATTTTTTAGTGTAGGAGCTGCATTTTATGCAAAATTTCTCAAATAATTTTTTCTTCATGGTGTCCATGGTTTTCCTGTTAATCAGAATTTTAAAAGTTATGTGTCTCTGGTTGCTTAATAACGTTTTGTAAGTTTTCATGTGCCTAAAAATAAAAAGAAAAGGAAGATCAGAGATACACAATTAAAGAAGGAGGAAAAAACAAAGATAGGTTTAAAGAAATTAGGGTTGTCACTTAACATGTACATAATATTTGTGATGGTGATACAATGTAGTTAAATTAGATTACTTTTCTTTTCCCCTTCTTTTGATTAGAACCATAGGAGAACCACACTATAAAAACTTGTTATAGTTGCACAGATAGCCCTAAGACCTTAAAAGCCCGACACTAAAATCTCATACTTCCTATTTGGGATTCAAGTCCCTTACCTTGCAATTGGATCCTAACATCGCACTATGCTTTGCAGCCCCAACACACATGCGGGTTGTCTGTGTACTTCCCTTAAACTAGACTTGACTGAGAACTTCATTGTATTTTTTTTATCACTTGTGTGGCAATCACTCTCATGCAACAGAGACACGGTGGAAATTAATGTCAATTAATAATTGAGAGAACCTATACCCCAAAAGTTAGCAATTTTGTTTCTAAGTAGATGGTAGAGGAATCAATCATTCAACCAATCCATTTACCATATCGGTGTATGAATCGACATTGAGAATGTAATTTGCTGTGACACTACCAAATATTTGGACCATTTTAGTTCAGTGGTTGGCATTGACCATGCAAGATTTTATCTCATTTCGATTAGGTGTACCACTTTGTCTTGACAATAACACTGTTCAAGCCAATTGGAAAAAGATGTTCCTAATTTTTACTTTGAACAAGAAAAGGTAGTATTATTAGACTGACAGTCAGATTAGTCATTGACTTGTCTGTGTTATCGCATTCAAACATGTGATTCATTGGTTAAATTGCCTATATTGGTTGTAAGAGAGTATATTTTCTTTGGTTTTTAGTCTGCTATTTTTCTTTATTGCAATAGTTGTCAATTGGTTAATGTGCTGTGAGGCTCATTGCAGTTATTTTGCAGAAAGTTTATTACATGAAGTTGTAATTGTCTCAGAAACAGTTATGATTGTCATCATCTCAATTTGAGCTTCTGCATTCGATGACTATCTTATATAAGTAGAAGTTCCTCAGATTTGTTACTCTCATTTTTAGTGAAATAGAAATTTCTCAAGTTCTCTCTTGTTCATTCAAATATGGAATCAAGAGCTTAAGTTGAGTAGAAATTACTTCTATAGATCCACCATCGGTCCTACCTCCTACCTTGCCATAGTCCCGACCACCAGTGGCTTTGTTAACGACACTAACCTTTTTTCAACTGATTTTTGGAAAGCTTAACAGAGATACTTTTCTTCTCTGGCATCATCAAATTGAGCTAATCATCAAAGGTTATCAACTTCACTCTTATTCTGTGAATCCACATGTTACATCACCTTTTTTCTCATTGAGAATGATCAGAACAATGGTACGGTCAAATCTCAGTATCTTGCTTGGGAGAAACGAGTTCAATTGCTCCTCTTGTGGCTGCAATCTATTCTCACTAGTGCTTTTTTAACTTAGTTTATTGGTTGCACTCATTCTTTGGAACTATGGGTGAAACTATAGTTGTCATTCCTGCATAGTGGCGCGGAGAGGGCTGACCCCCAAAAGTAGGATAGTGGGAAGATTGTCATTCTATTCTCTTTTTTTTTTTTTTTTTTTTTTTCATATATTAAAAAGTTAACATATACATATGTATACAATGTCTCAAAAATACAAAAATAACTTACAAACTGTGCACCAATCATAGCCATCTTCTATTTTTTTTCTTGTTATTTTCGTTTCTTTTATTTTTAGATTTTTTTAAATATGAAGTCTGAACACTTTATGAAGGGAAAACAACGAAGGGCAGGGGAATATGGCAAAGAAATGGGAATATAAACGGAAAAGGTTCAAAATTTATATTCATAAGAAAGGAGAAGAAAAGAAAGGAAAAGAATAAGAAAAGAAAAGTAAAACCTGAAGTAGGATTGTCATAGCTCCTTGGCTGTCGAAACTCCTTCATCTCTCAAAAACAAAGTGGTTGGAGAAGAAGTGAAAAATGTGGGTATGTGGGTTGGGAGGTTATGTGGAGGAAAAGCGAAGAAACTCCTTAATTATTTGAGCTTGTGCAGGGAGTGCTTATCCTTATAGTAGCAAGGGATGGTGTTAAGGTTTCAACATAAAACCAATTGGTAATATGTGGAGTAGCCTAACATGTATTTAAACCATACCAAATGACATGAGGTAGGCGATGTGGGACTTTCAACACACCCCCTCCAATGAAGCCTGCCGGACCAGGCAAAGGGTACTTTAGACCCAACTAAAACTTTTGGCCCATGACAATAACCGGAAATATGTTAGGCTTTGGTTCTGATACCATGTTAAGGTTCCAACATAAAACCAATTGGCAATATGTGGAGTAGCCTAACATGTATTTAAACCATACCAAATGACATGAGGTAGGCGATGTGAGACTTTCAACAGATGGCAACGGGGCGGGGTGGGCACGAATAGTGCCTACTCGCCACCCCTCTCACTAGGAAAAAACTTACCTGTCTTGTTACCCTTTAAGTATCTGTTTAAAATATATTTGCGAGTATTTTTATACCTGTGGGTATCCATGGATACCTGTGTATATTTTTTTATTTTTATTGTAAATAAAATTACTTAAAATATATATTTTAATAATTCTTTTATTAGAAAATATAATTCAAATAAAATTAAATCATAAAATATTAATATAAATAAAATTAAATCATAAAATATTAATATAAATAAAATTAATTTTTATAAAATATTAATTCTAATAAACTATTATTTTATAAAGAATACATTTCAATAACATTTCAATAATATATATTCAACAAATGTTTTTCACACCAATAACTTATTTTGATAACTATTTTAAAAAATATTAAATAAATTTTGGAGCGAGTAGCGGGTATGTATGGGTATCCATTTAGTATATCCGATTAGTGTCCATGATGAATTTAACCTGCGGATATCCACATGTACGGATTGTTTTGTCATCCTTAATAGTACTATTATTATAATTATAAAATCCAAAAAGAATTTAAAAACCCAAAACTACCCTTACTAATAATTAAATAGCAAGGGCAATATTGGGTTTTCTCAAACTTTTAGATTTGAAACCCTAAATTGTCTAGGGAGCATGATTGCACCGCTTCACTTTGATGCTACAATGATTGTGATGACTACAACTTCAAAATGTAATGTAATGAAGTTGTCATCACGCCATAATGCCACTCCACTCCATTCTGTTGTGATAGTTGCGACTGCAACCCGTATTTTTTTTTTTTTCCAGTTCAACCCCATATATTTTTTCATTCTTCCTCAGGAAGATGAATCATCCATTTTTTCTTCCCTTTTGTATATTTTACTTTTATACTTAGTTCATTCAGTCCCATATTTTTAGAACTTGAATTTATTGATATTTTGCTTTAATTTAATTGTTATTTAAAATTTTAGACCATATTATTAGTTATATTGTTACTTTTTATTATTTTTTATATGTCAATTATATTTGTACATTTTATTTATTTATTTATTCATATTTATATATTATATTTTTTTTCCACCATACTTCCACACTGTAACCCGATATGAAATCCAATATATTTTCATGAAGGATTTTTGGGTTACTGATATTTCCTGTTATCTGATATTTGATAAAACTGCTCAATATGTTAACCATACCAAGAGATTTTCAAAACTTCTTTTATTGTACTTTCTTTCAAATCAAAATTCCCAATAAAGCATAAAAGTAAAAGGTCAAACTTGTCAAAGCTTAGACCATAACTTGTGAGACAGTAATTAGCAGAGAATATTCTACCCCAGAACAAACTGAACTCAAATGAACATCTTAGGACTGAAATCATAGGATCCAAACCAACCATATTCAAATCTATTGTCATTAACGAAGTATATATGCAAGATTCTTTACATCCACAGAGTTGACAACTAGATTTTTTTTTTTAATTGCAAATTCTCAATGAAGCACTTCACACTTAAATTAGTAAATTTTTAATTATGAATTGAAAATCAAAGAAACAAAAAGAGAACCTGAAGCTTTTTCATTGACCAGATGGGTCCTCCAACATCATAATCATCCAAAATAAAGGTTTTATTTTCTAAAATATACATGGCTGCCTCCTCAAAAAAGCAAGCAGATAAAAGGCACTGAGCAGCCTCAAACATGCCATAAGCAGGGCCAAGTGGTAGTGTCCTTCTAGTTAGTGTTCTTTGGTGCTTTGTTGCTATATGATTTAGAAATTGAAATGCTGCTAAGAGTCTCAAACCATGAGCCAACTTGGCTCACCACATGTTTGAGCCGGGTTGGATTGGAAATTTTTAAATAGTGGGTTAACCGTTGGTTAAACAGGTTTGAGCCGGGTTAGTAGTGGGTTGACCTGTTTTTCCCAATCTTTAATATTCTAATTTTTCTTATCCATGTGTTAGTGTAAATCCATGAAGAAAGAAAATATTTTAGTGAGTCAACCCACCTAACCACTTATAATTAGTAAGTTAACCCGCCTATTTTAGTAATTTAAAAAGAAAAAATAATAAAAATAGATACATATTGAAGTGGGTCAACCCACCAACCCGTAGTGGGTTGAGTTGATTCATTTTTAATGTAATTTGTGGTGATCCAACGTGTGTAAGTTGGGTTGGCTCATTTTGACATTCCTAACAACCTGGAATGTTTAATAAGGTGTAATGGGAGATATATTATTAACAAACCATGTAACACTGTTGTATACTATAAAGGCCTATCATTTTTCTAAGCCTGTGTGGATACATGTGGAAGTGTAGGGGAGGTTGACTGACTTTTGTTTTAAGCTTTAGATTGAATTAAATGTATTTTCATTCCTCCAACTACATTCTCGGTTTATTGCATATATATCTAGTTTCATGTGTGTGAAACAAACACATTACATTTTGAGAGAAATGTTTGGTAACATATAGTTTATTTTTTATACTATTGAAGGTACTGGGATCCATATTATTATAAGAGGCTATATATCTAGTTTCATGTGTGTGAAACAAACACATTTCATTTTGAGAGAAATGTTCGGTAACATATCGTATATTTTTTATACTATTGAAGGTACTGGGATCCATATTATTATAGGAGGCGAAGGCTACAAGCTGATGATGACAAGATGAACTTCATTGAATCGGTGTGTGATGCAATTGAGATAACATGGCATCCTTCCACCCTAAATTTTTGTTTCTACTGAAGATAGGGATTTTGTTATTTTGGTAGGTTTTCTCCTTTGTATTTGGAGATGGTGATCCCAATCAAGGAATTGAAGAAGAGAGATGGAAGTTGGTAATAATTGAGGACTGAATTCAGTGGTCCGTTGCCTTTGATGATTTATTTATTTATTAATTATTTAATATATATATATATATATATATATAGATATAGATATAGATATATATTTGGTTTTGTTTTCCACATTACATGTTAAAGTATGTACTTTTTTCTTTTTTAAACTTTCCATTACCTTCACATGTTTATTTCCTCTAATCCACTTTACTCATGTTATGTGCAGATTGGGCAATACATAGCATCTAATGGTGGTGTTGTTGCAGCTGAAGAACTTGCTCCATATCTTGATTTAGATTCTACGGAGGGACTCAAGGTAATTTAGTATATGTTTCGTTCTGTCTCTACAAACTTATATGAACATATTTTGTTATAATCAGAAGCTAAAAGGATTTGCTTTTGCTTGGATGTGGAAATTGACCTTGTGATCTACTGTATTTTGTTATTCATTATTGGTTGTTTTCCTATGTTGTTTACAGAATGCTTCTTTTGTCCTATTGGATAATTATGATTCCTATAAAATGAGTTTTTTTTCTTTGGTTTCCGAAACAATTTTTTTAGTTTATTTGATTCTTTTGAATTTTGAAATTATTGATGTTAATCCATAAAAAATAAGTGGATTTTGTTTATGTTCATATGAATATTATTCTTTGGTTTTCAACCCATCAAAATTTTAAATAATTGTTTCTAATTTATAGCATTCTCTTTGGGACAGATAAATAGCATTTCTCTTAGGGCTCAAAAAAAAAAAAGAAAAATGTTTGGGTGTGATGGGTTGGCATGACTTCATAAATGCATTAGGGTTTAGGGTAATGGGTAATGGTTTCTATCTAAATGGTCATGTGGCCTTTTCTTAAGACACATTTAATTGATGTCATATGATGGCATGGATCAAAAGTATTGATTTTAGATTTTAGAGGGTGGAAACCAAAGAAAACTTCTACAAGGACCGCAAGCAAAATTTTCTCATTTTACCTGGACAAATCATATTTAATCCCAGCTTTTTTTATATTTGTTAATCCTACTTTTTAACCTTGTATCTTTGGGTGGTGACAGGATGACGAATCCTATATCTTACCTGTGCTTTTACGATTTGATGGTCAGCCTGATGTTGACGAGAAGGTATATTGAGAAAATAACTTCTGCCTTCCCACTTTTCCTCTCAAATGGTATTTACAAGACGATCTTCTTATATTAATCCTTAGAATTACTCTTTGTTGCAGTTTCTAGTTATACATAACTAATTTCTTTAAGGATATAGCAGTAACAACCAATTATTAGTAGTTGTTTTTGTTTTTACAGAATATATATTGTTGATTTCTGCTAAGAGTTGTTTTTTCCCCTTATTTCCCCTCTTTTTATATATACTTGCAGATTGCTTGTTATGCAGGGAAATATTCTGTATAGGTTTCCATCTCTACAGAGAACAGCTTCTCAAAAGAGTAAGAGGAAAGAATATGTTGGAAGGAGATGGACAGATTGGGTTGGAATTGAGAAGTTTTTCCAGGAGAAAAAATGGCAATTCAGGTTCTTTATTTGTACTTTTTTCTGATCTAGTTGTGGTTATCCAATATGTTTATTAAATCATAACATTTGTTGTTGTTCTATTGCAGTAAAACTGGCACGTCCGAGAGAGCAATGGTGATTGGTTTGGGTGGCCTTAATCTGTTTGGAGTTATTATTCTCGGAACCATGTTGAAGTATGTCCTTCACATGATGCATTACATCATTAGTTAGTTTTTAATTTGTTGTTTCAGTCTCCTCACTTCTGTTTTTCATTGATCGAAAGAGATATGGCAGTTGCACCCAGTAGCTTCATCAAATTTGTAGCGGACATATTTCCGCTGCTTCAGGTACTGACCAGTATTTCTATTTTCAAACAACTAAGTTTTTCAATATTGGAAAAGGAATTATAAATTATCTTTTTGAAGGAACATTTAGATATAGATTGATGATATTGCTAATTTTGAGAATTTGATGACAATTTATTGCTGCAAATTTAAGATAGGTTAATAATTAGGCAGTTCGTTCATACATATATATTTATATATATGTATATGTGTGTGTATATATATATATATATATATTTATATATGTATGTATGTATATGTATATGTATATATACATCTATATATATGTATATGTATATATACATCTATATGTATATGTATATACATATATATACATATACATATATGTATGTGAGAGAGAGAGAGAGGTTAGGCTACCAAACATATTCCAACATCAAAGTAGTTATTCGTGATAACGCTTCATTCCATGAAACCTTATAAAGTGGGTTTGGTCAATATGAAGTTTAATGGGTAAGATGATCCTAAAGTGAGTAAATATAAAAGTGGTTGATCAGCATATCAATTTATTGATGCTTCTCTTGGTTTGTCTAGAGTTATGGCCATTAAATTAAATTATTTAAATTTAAAGCATTGAGAAGCAGAAATATTATTTATCAAACTATGTTCATACTTTGGCAACTGTGACACTTGCATAAACGTTAAATATTTCCTGAATGAGGTAAATCTTGTGATTATAATTATTAGCATTGGTTTAGCATCACTGTCTCATACACTATATGGTAATATTTGCAGATTTATGCTGGTTCTTTCTTTGCAATTCCTCTTGTTCGGTGGTTTTTTATTCGTAAAAAGAATGGTGATATTGAAAAGAGAAACAAAGCTAGGGAGCAGTGTGCACGAGTTCTTGAATTACCTGACTCTTCACTAAGGCAGAAGGTATGATTTACAAAGTCATCTATAAAAGTCATCTTGACCATATAGTATATCGATAGCATTGTCTCTTCTGATATACATTTATTTACTATAAACTTCAAGAGAATCTTCCTTTAAATTTTTTAAAGAAACCTTGTGTTTGTGTATAGATTCTTGAAAAATGAGCAATTTCAGATATTTGTATTAATCTTGTCTATCTTTTTATAAAGTGTTACCATATTCTCTAGTTTACAATAAGTATTCCGAATAAATTGAATGTCCATGTAGTTGAATTTTGAAGATGATTCTTTGAATGAATTGTGCATCATTATATATTAGTGCATTGAATCTCATTTCTGTATTGTTTTGGATGTTTGTTGCTTATACGATCACATTCAGTAAGTGTCTATATCATATGCTCAGTTCAGCTACGAAACTTTTCATTGCTTTATTTGGATCTGCTCGTCTTGTTTGAGGAGTGGAAGGTTGGATACGGGATTGCTTTTACTCAGGCATAATCTCCGTGATAAATTCTTTGTTCTGGCTTTCAGCTTTTCAGTGCTCGGGACATGGCCCAAAAGACAGTCATAGGAAAGGATCAAATTGTGTATAGCACTGACAAGGACTTACTTGAACAAGACTATGAAGCTCGCGAATGGGATAAAAAATTTCGGGAGCTGTAGAGGTCTCTGATCGAGAAAGGTCAACTGTTAACCTGTTAAACAGGTAAATTGTTTAACTTCTATTTGAATGCATTTCATACGTTATTTTGATGGCAAATGCATCACACGGTTTGTTTAGAAAAAACAATATCTAAAAGCTAATTTTTAGCAAAACGTTGTCGGTTAAAAGATGTAAAGCCAGCGTAAGCTCTAGGGATAAAAAAAAGTCAGTGTATAGAATTGTAAGTGTTATGTCAAATAAATTAAGTCATCTTTCATCAGTATTAGTGATAAATTGATCTTCATTCATAATATTGTTAGATATGATAATTGTTTCAGGTGAATTAACGAACTATACCAATGACCATTAAGTATGACTGAGTTAGATCATTATCAATGTATAATCTACATCGATCTGATTAATACGTGAGAGTCTCGTTTGAAGGATAAATGATAATAGGATCAAGACAATTTTTTTTTTGTCCTAATGCATGCAGTTGATGGTGCTTGAGCAACCACAAACGGCCCCACTGCAAAGGTTTCCATACAAGCTAAGGTCGGGCCACATACATGCATGAATTGTTCTTTAACCCATGCGGTAATGCGCGGTGCCAACTTCTGTATCAAGACAATCTCCAATAGTTATAGGTCTTCTTTGCTCAATGATGTTGAGGGGGTGATATGATGGTAGCCTAAAGTATTGTTGATTGCACATATCAACTCCAACAACACAAACCATCAATGTGTTCTAATTGTTCTATGATAGTGTATCCCGACGACCATGGAGAACAGTTGTTTGTTTGTACCACTACAAATAATCCTATAGTCTCACTGCTTAACTAGTTAATATAACAATTGAATATAATTTCTGAGTTCATCATGCGGTTGACTTTACAATCTTCTCAACAATTTTATGTGCCTTCTCAAAAGTAGGCAACGAAGATGAGTTTTGCTTTTTATCCCCCACTTCTTACTTTTTAAACTATTTTCGATTTCCGATTAGAAATTAAGTTCCATCCAATTTTGGTTTTCTCTACATTATATCCAAAACATTATTATATTTATAATAAATTAATTTTAATATTTTTATATGTAAATAGATATTTGTAATTTTATAATTTATAATAATAATTATTATTAAGTCTATGTTTTAATTTGTTATAATTATATTAAAATGTGTATATAAATAAAATATTTAATATTTTTTACATGAATATAAAATATTTATAATATTATAATAATAAAAATAATAGTAATATTATATTCAAATATTTTATCATAGTTAATTATTATTATAAATTATTAATAAATATAAAATGTATAGTTTATAAGAAAATAAATTAATTTTTATTTAATTATTAATTTTTTAAAATTTTCAAAATAGAATTATTTTATTAGGATAAAATTTTATATATGATAAATAAAAATAATAAAATATAAAAAATATGATATAATAAAACCTAACAAAAAAAATAGATTAGAAATAAAATAATGCTATATATTTCTAAGTTTGATGTACAATATTTAGAGAAATATAAAAAAGAAGAAAAATTAACTTTTTCTTTCTCAAATTTTTAAGAAAATGTGAAGGAGCAAAATGTGAGAAAAATAATAATGTAATAAACTCATTGATTGAAAAGAGTGGAAAAACAAAAGAATGAAAAGTGAGTAGTAAAAAAAGAGTGTGAAATATAGAAGAAATTACCTTATAGATAATGTGAAATAAAAAAAAACTTTAAAAAAATTAATAATTTTGGATTTAGATTTAAATATAAAATCGGGACGAGGAATAATAAGGGTGCGAGTTGCATTACTTATCTTTTTTTGATTTTTCAAAGGCTAAAAAACTCGAACTCATACTCAATTAACTCAATTTTTTCTCATTAAATTTGAGATGGGGACAAGTGGTCCCCTCAAGTGCAAGTGTCATGTTGGCCTATGCTAGAAGTTGTTAATTCCACATTTTAAAGGTTAGACATAACTTTCATCACTCTTTTTTCTTTTTTTCAATGAATCACATTCTTCCTTTGAAAATCCTATATTTCAACTTTTTTCATATGAATAATTAAACAAATAAATTTGTTACAAAAATAATTTGTAATAATTATTTGTTAACAAAAATTCTATAAACCTTTTGCTATGCACTAATCTCAAAAAATTTCCTCCATATTTCTATGTTAGTGTCATATCTTGGACAATGAGTTGAACCTTCTACTATAACAAATTTATCAAATACTCATTTAACAATGAATGTAAACCTAAATTGCCTTTAGTTTTTATATTTTTGTCACACTAGGTAATACATACCTCTTAACATCATTAGAGTATACAATATTAAAATATTTCTCATTAATATTAATGTTAATCAAAATCAAAGTTAAGATGAAAGAAACTACAAAAGATAAATAACTTGAAAAATACCAAAGTATATAGAAAAAACAAAATTTTTATTGTTTTCTCTAAACCTTTTCTTGAGCAATAATCCCTAGACAACTACTAAATTGTGTGTGACATGACCCTCGCACTTTCCAATCTTAGGATCCATAGTAACATGTAGTCTCTCTCATGTTTAATGATTAAATCTTTTTAGTCATATGTCTTGTCTAATTTTTCTAGGAATGTCTATAGACCTATCTCAATAGGAAGAGATCTCGAGATATAATGTACCTTTTAGCAAAAATTAAAACATTTAAGTAAGAAAGTACACATGATAGTAAAATGTAGAATGTATTAATTAAGTTCTAAAAAATGTTCTAATAAGATAAACATAACTTATATATCATGATTTATATAAAATAAAATTTCCCTGTAAGCTTTTATCATGATCATTTTGAGTTGCATGAACCAAGTCATCTTCGGTGTCTTTAATGCTAGTGGGCATAAGTGTTCGAAAAAGATACCAACTATATCACCTATTTCATCTTCATATGTAACATCAATTACTTTTCATAGGAGAACCATTGACTACTTATCATTATACAAATGAGTGAAATAAAACACTTGTTTCATTTAGTATGTCATTATGAATGATTCTTCGTTATGATCTACCTTCTTAATGTCTATGAGAGTAAATATCATTTGATAAGATTGAACACCAATGTTGTTATGGACACATAGAAATTTGAATTTAGTATAACTAACTTCTCATATTTCATATTCAAAATAATTATGAGTACCATTATCATATTTTTATCTTTTCAACTAGAAAAGTGCAAATATGTGGCTTGGATAGAAACCCCACTATTTTGGACTACATTTTCATCATTTTGTGACTTTGTGTTGAATGAGTGCTTATTGATGTCATGTCCCCTTTCAAATGATCATGTTATGTTTTGGGTTATTGGTCTTAATCAAGGTTTTATTAGTAGATATGTAAAGGAGATCCTCATTGGTATTATTTGGAATGTACAGATGTGCTTCATGCAAGTCAATAACATCCTTTCTTTGAACTCTTATACCATAAGTACCCTTACCTCCATTTGTCATCATGAACAAAACTCTTATATCACAAGTATCCATAACTCCAAATTTGTCAAAGTACTTTAAACAAAATTCTATAACTTTTTTGGTTACATACCTTTTAACTATTACTACTTTAGGACTATATGGATTTTTGGTATTCCCTATTGAAGATCTTCATGTATAACTCAATTGAGGTACATAATCTTATTTCTCTTACAAGATGGATAAGTAAGTGAACTTTAGTATCAAAATATGAAGGAGAAAAATAAATTTGCACTTAGAATAATACGATTGTAACTTCATTTTATGACTTATCATGAAGGACCTTGACACATAACATTTGAAGAATGAATAGAGACGAGTAATGACATGTCTTACATTCTCATGCAATATTTCACATATTGTCATGGGTAAGAGTTATTAATAACATCAATACAATGTCTTACGTAAAGATGACACCAATATGAAAGATAAAAGAATACTAACCTCTTTTTCCATATGTTTTTATTAAATGACTTTTACAAGTTTTTTTTTAAGACAATGATGATGTCTTTCTAATGTAAATAATTTTCTTTTTAAGTTTAAATTGTTCATAGCTTGTATTTCCAGTATAAATAGGATGAGCATAATAACCCTTAATAATGTAACCACTTAAATTTTATATGCTAAGAAATAATTTATAATAAAAAATAACATTACATATGATTTGAAAGTGTATTCTTGATATGTATTAATTAAACACTTCAATGAGGAAGATTGCATTTCATGAAGAAGGTTACATGTATACCATAGATAACATATTTGCATTTCATGTACCAATCAATGAGAAAGGTTGCAAATTATCAACAAAACTAACCATGAACCATGATTACTGCTTAAATTACCAAAATGATTCATTTTATGTATTGTTAGTTTGAGTCTAAGGTTTATACTTCACTCCCAATATTTATAAAAATATAGTATTATTTTTCCCTTGAGGATAATAAGTTGGATTCAAAAGTTGGTCATCTTTTTTCCTTCCACTAGGTTAAAACATAAAGTATTTTGCATCATATTCATTTGAAATTTTTTTTCTTAAACCTTAGAATATTTAAAGATACCAAAAACATTTGCCATGAAGATCATATCTTTCATTTTTGGGACCAATATCATCATGTCCTTCACTTTTGTACCATAATACCAACATGAACAAAAGATTAATATAGGGTGTAATTCCAAAGAAATATTGGGAGATATTCTACTAATTCTTTAAGACATTTTCAATTTAATTAAGCAAGTTATGACTTTAAAAACTACCGTATCATTGGTCATGAAGTGATATGTATTTAATGTTTTCTTTGATTTTTTACATTATATACTCATTAAATTATATATTTCATGTGTTCTTTGATTTTTTACATTATTTACTCATTAAATTATATATTTTCTCCTAAGATGAACTTCTTGATGCTAGATACAAAACATTTGACTTTTTGGTTGAACTATTGATATTGAATTATTATATGCTAGTTAAATGTGCTAAACATAGTTAGGGTATGTCTTATTTTCAATTTTCTATTGTTTAATAAATTTTATTATGTGAGCTACTACAAGTTATAATTTTAAATTACAACAAAACAATAACAATAATAAATAATAATTTCTCACAAATTTGTTGATGAAAAATATCTATGGGATATAAGTCATGAACTTTCAATGGGAAATTTCCCATGAACAATTTTTGTGGAAAATTTCCCATAAATAAGTCACTAGGAAATTTCACATGGATGCTAGAAACAAAGACTAAATTCCTAATTTTGATAATAATAAATATGATTAAGTTTTAATGTATTTAACATATGTGTTAAATGTGCCATAGGAAATAAAATAATAATTTTAGAT